GAGCATCTCCTTGACCTTGACCTCCAGCAACGACGATTCCTTCCTTGGCATCTTTATTCCACTTCATCACGCGATTATTCAAGCTGTCTGACACGTAGACAGTCTTTTGTCGATCCACAAATAAGAACGTCGGCGAATTGAGTTGATTGAGACCACCACCCCCGCCATAGCCACCGGCTACAACAGTTCCATTCTTATCTCCCATTTTATATCGTCTTACTTCATGTTGCTGACCGTCAGATATGTAGAGATACCCCTGATCATCTATGGCCAACCCCTGACAAGCAATGTTATCGAGGAGAATTTCTCCTTGACTTGTGCCACTGCGACGAGGCCATCGTAGGACTCGTTCATTTCCAAAGTCACAGATAATGAGACTATCCGTCTCTTTGTCGATTAACACATTGGTTGGAACATTCAATTGATCCAATCGAGTGCCTTGACCATGGCCACCAGCTACGACTTGTCCCTGGCTATCACCGATCTTCCATTGAATGATACGATGGTTAAACATGTCAGCGATGATCATCATTTGATCATCATCAATAAAGAGACCCCAAGGATGATCAAGTTGATTTGTAGCATTACCTGCTCCGTGACTTTTAGCAACGGCTGAGCCATTCTGCATCCATCGGGCATCGGCTAGAATGTTGGGAATCACTATAGTGAATGAGAAAGCAAATTAATCATTATTCTTGTTGACAAGACTCCCTCTCGTGTGAGAAAAAGAGTTACAACAGAAAATATTCTTCTTGAAAAGAAAGTTGTTAAACTTTTCAAGAACAAGTTTGAGAGAATCATTTCCTAACACACTGTGTAACAAAAAATAGTTCCATTCGCCGATAGAAACTCGAAACTTTTTAAGATTTCCTATAAAATACTTTTCTTACAAATTCAAAGACGCTTATAAAATAGACTTATTTAGTAATGACTTTATTCTCAAAGCTGTTGCTATTCTTCTCCAGTTCCAAAAACGGGAAGTATTCCTAACTCGGACAATAATTCAGGATCAGCAATTATTAACAATAGACAAAACAGAACTAATGGAACCAAAGAAACTTGCAGAAAGGTGTGAGAGTGTAGATATTTGTGGATGTCGTATTTATCCCTAGGTCTCATACTCTCGGCTTAGTGTTACAACAAAATTATGCACCGAATTCTCATGTTTCTCGTGTTGTCACAAAAATTATCTGGTATTCGTATCTGTTTTCAAAAATCACATATGTGCAAATATCAAATATCTTTGTAAAAAAGCTGAAATTAGATGATGTTTTCAAGCTATTTTGGCTTGGTATATAACATATTATTTTGAATTTAAATATAAACGATTTTTCAAACTCTTTCTCAAGAGACTGTGTTCAGCAGGAATTCATCTATCTGTATATGTGACTTTCAAACAAAACTAAAGTGATCTTGATGCAGAAATAACGAAATTACAAGATTGATTCTATAATTTTTCGCAGGCTGAAATTGATCTATTCTAGTAAATATTTGTTTTTTCTAACTTAGTAATAGCATCGAGCAATCTGGTTTCATAGTTAGGTAGAGCATATTCGAATATATGTAGTCACATAGACTTTGCTTCTCTTGGAGGTCTAAACTATCAGAATGAGAGTAAATAACCCAAATTGAACAGGTGATTCTGTCATTTGTTTACACCATTGAATGCATTTTCTTAGTAATAAATACTATAATTTACCGTTTATGTCGCTTTTTTGACCATTCACTTGAAAAAAAAGTAATAATCGCAGTAATAATACTAACGGTAATACTAATATCAATAATAGTAACGCGAAATAGAGCAGAGGCTTTATTTTCAAAGTATACATAATAACGTGAAAGTATTCATAAAAAAAAAAGATTAGATTCAATGAATGATGGAATTACTCTATATTATTTCACCAGTTATATATATATATATAAACATTGTTTCAATACATAGTGGGATTATTCCTTCTGGGAGAAAATTATATATATCAACAACGATTTTTCATTTTTCTGTCATCGAAAAATGCGTCGTTAATGAAACTTGTACGAAACTTATTGGTTGAGGCAGCCTTCAGAATGGACATATGATAATATGTATATTCTATCATCGACGTTTCTACATTGTTTTTCTATTGCGCTCTGATATATATCGACTGGCTTGTTATCTTTTTTAACTTTTCTTATTCTATTTCTTGTAGACAATATCTATATATGTATATACATCTATATATAAATATAGATATGAATGAATATAAATGTTAAGTGTAGCATAGTTTATACATTCACATTACGTGAGAAGAGGTACAACGTTAAGTAAAGAAAATATACGTAAATTTTGAGGATCCATGAATAGACAGAATATACCATTAGTACAGTCGAATGCTTTCACTAGACATGATGCCTGTCGTTGACTGTGTCAAACACGATTAAGTATTAAAATAGATTTCAGTTTATTCTGTTTTTTATATGAAAGTGAACTAATAACAAGAGTGTTTGAAATCAAGTTGTAGATATCGGTAGACAAAAAAAAGTGGTATGCATTGGTTAACTACCACCCTTTATGATGTGTGCTAATTTGAGCATCATAAGAACTCGTGCCTACTGTTCTTAGGGGCTGTTATTTTCTATTTTGGGGTGTAAGTGTGGATGTGACTGAAACGAAAATCCATACTCAAGGAATGATGTAAAGAAATTAATTTTTTTCGATATTTTAGATTAGTGAAACGCTTCATAATAATAATAGATTGCCTTGGCTTGATACTTTATTACTTCAATTCGATAGTTTCCTTCATTGAATCGAAAATGCCTCAAAAGAATGTAAAGGGTTAAATATTTAAATAATAAACTTGAAATTGCAAATATTCCAATTTTTCATTATTAATAGTATTCTGTATCCTCTTCATGTTTCGAATATAACTTAAGCTATATATTTATTGATTTATAAAAATAACATAGAAATCAATAGAATTATTTTTATTGAAAAAAGAAATTAACAAATAAGATGATTTTAGTGCATCAAAATGGTATGTTCAGATTCATTCGCTCATTCTTAATAGTTATGGCATAATATCATAATGTATACAGCATTGAACAAATGATTGAACCATTCAATAGTTTCATAACATTGATCATCACTTCTAAAGGCGTCTCAAGTCGAACAAACACGCTTTTTCTAACAACCGTATATCGCCATATTGCATGACTCCGTATTATGATCATACATCTCGTCATTACATATCGAGAAATATGTTCATATACGTTTCAGCATGTCACCATATCTACAACTTCTATATTCTTCACCCAGTGATACTTCTCCGTTCATTTGAATATTAATATAAAGGTATCTTTTTTGTTACTCTACGCAGTGATTTATATTATAATTACTAACAATGTCAGTTTATTGTATGAATATACAATATAATATGTGCTCAAAATCTTCGAAAAAAAAAAAGATTCACTCTATTTTTTGTTTTATATAAATACTTTATGACAAAAAAAAATACTAAAGGATGACTCATCGAGGTCATCAAAGTCAGGCTATTTGTGCAAATAAAGACATTTCTGTGTTTGATGAATATAAAAAGAAACGAAAAAATCACAGTTTTATATAAATTATGAAATCCTTCATAGTTCCGTAAGTTTAAATAAAAGTGACTTTATCGTTATTTGATCAGAATGATTATAATATTGACTTGATTAAGTCATTCGATAAGATGTTTGCAACTATAAAGTTTTATTATTCTACTTTTTACAGTATTGGCCCATCTTTATTCTATCTGTTCGACTATACATCATCTTGTATGCATACATGTTTTATTTTTTATTATGTTCTCGTAAAAGTTTCAAGGTAAGCCTCAATCGTTTTGTAGAAAAAAATTGATGATCTTATTTTATATTGTGCTGAAGACTTTTTGAAACTATCGTACAAATAAATTCGGGTTTCTTTTGAATTAACATTCACCTTCGATTATTCATATAGCTTAGTCATGTTAAGTTGTTTTTTTTATCAATTTTTATTTTTTTATTTTTACGCAACTAAAATGTTTTCTATTCGCATTCTTATCCATTATCTAACTAAAATAAGAATACAATATATATGACTACGTATTCACTTGAATTTTCTATTTTAATAAGCCATACTTACAAATACAGTTAATTAATTAATCCATCAATTGAAGAATCTAATGTTCTATTTTATGAAGCATATTAGTTAGTGAATATTAAGTTTGAGAAATACGAAAACTGAACCTTCAACAGATTATAACAGATTGAAATAGCTATTACAATCTGTGACAAATGGTTAATATATTGATCGCCGAAATTCGACAAGTCGTATTTCGGTGATCTCATTGTCAACGATTTTTATTTCAATGACCGAACATATCGGTGATATTCTGAAATGAAATTTTTAGTACTAGAAACTTTTTGTTATTATGACAATTCTTTTGGAACCTATCATTTCAAAAATAGCTCAGAAATCAGCAATTCGAGATTCCGTAAAAGTTAGTAACGGTTTCAGATTAGCTACAAAGTCGTGATACAGATACGATTATCATATAGATTAGTCGCTTCCTCTTTGCATTTATCAAAGACCTATGAGAATAAAGATTCACATTCTTTTCAAGAGTATAGAAACTCACAAACTGGAAGAGACTTTGTGAAAATCGTCTGATTCATAATACAAACAGCTAAACATATTAATTGACAATTGAAAATATCATTCTCCTAAGCAAGTGATTATTAGTGTAAGATACTAGTGACATCTAAATACTTTATTTTATTTGTTGACAATAAATTAATTATTTAAATGGAATTTCTTTTATCAATTCAAAGAAGTTCTTTTTAATTGATAATTTTCTTATAAACAAAAGCAAATAAATCATTTAATCTAACATTGATGTAGCTTGACTAGTTGTTTTGATTACTATTCAACTGGGTACATGACCGATATAGGAAAAAAAATATTTGATTATCAATAACCCAATATGTTTCTACAATTTAAAGATTTTAAAATGCATGCTCCAGTTTATCATCATAATTCTTCACATCATATTCAATCATCAATGTTAAGCAATAGTGAATTATCAATTCGACGACGACCAACACATAATCCATCTAAAAATCTTTCCACAAATGAAATTCAATGTTTATATGATCTTCTTGGAAAAAATTGTGTGGTATGAACAAATATTTTTTGAAAAATTTAAATTGAACTTTATTCTTTTAGACTTTAGCAACAACTGTTGCACAAATCTTACATGCAGATAATAATAATTGGAAAAAACAAGCATGTGGTGTTTTATGTTTTATTAAAGATTATAATAAACGAAACTATTATTTTCGTTTATATGATCTTCAAGTGAGAGATATAATTTTAATAATGTAAAATATTCTTTAGTTATTTTAGTTAAAACAAATAATCTATGAAGAAACAATATCTTCTTCATTACGTCTTGAAAAAATAACAAATCTTTTTTATACATTCAATGGAATGGTTAGAATATTTCTTTCTTATTTTTATTTTTTAATAATTTAATTATATAGACTTGTAAAGTTGGTATTAATTTCATTGATCAGGCTGAAGCAGAAATATTTTGTAATTATTTTCATATAAAACAAGATAATAGACAACGTAAAAATAGAAAAAATTTATTATTCAAATTTCAATTTTGTTTTCATATAATAGAAAAGAGAAAATCTAAAGAATCAACATCTATTTCATTGACTACAAATGTAAATAAAATAATATCAACTGATAAACCATTATCAAGGTCTGATGATATTATCTCAAAGAGTAAGTGATGAAAAAATGTTTCTTAGATAAAAAAAAAAAAAAATATTCTAATCTAATACAGAACAAAATACTTCAAAAATTCAACAACAAAAAAAAAATAAAGATAATCGACCGGTAATATCCTCACCAATTCTTTCAAGGTTTATTAAATATAATTCATTTGAAATAATCTATAATCTTTTGTTTCTCTTCAGTTTTACTCATATTATTCATGCTGGATCTGATAATGTATGTTTTTTTTTGTTTTTGGGTACATTGAATATATATTGATATAAATGTTGTTTATTATTATAGAGTTTTCTAACTGATGATTCACAAAGAGAATTATTTGAAGAAGTATTATCTAATATGCATATAACATCAGAAGAAAAATCATACATTCGAAAAACTATAATAGATACAGATGGTGGTTTGGAAGAACTTTTTACTAGTGCGTTTTTTTTTTATTGATGACTTTGATAAAAAAAAATAACTATGGAATTTGTTTTTTATAGAATTATTCCAAAATAAAGATAATCAACGACATGAAATGGCAGATTATCCACCGAAAATTCCTTCAAATACTTATTTAACAGCGGGACAAAAAAACAATATTAAACATGAGCCGCATCAAGATATTTGTATTCCATCATTGATCAATAAGGGAATTGAGACTGTTGGTACTCAAAGTCTGAACATGTCTAAAACATCAACGATTCCCGAACGACCAAAGGCACCAATCATTCCACCAAAACCTCGTCCTGATATACCAAATAATACACATTCAACTGTTCCAACAGCACCACCATTACCTCCTCCTAGACCCGTTAATTTGGAAAAGCCAAAACCAATCTCTAACATTCCTCCTGCTCCTCCTCTTACAAACTTTCCACCAGAACAAATACTAAGCAAACCATTTACATCATTGCCAGAATCTCAACCTAATACTTTCATTCAAGAAATCTATGATTTTGATAAATCTAAATTAAAAGTATGTATTCTTATTATCTTTCCATTATTATTATTTTTTTTCTTTTACTATTTATATCAGCCAGGGGTAGAACAATCAACAATGTTGAAAACACCATCTACACCTAAATCGAAAGATGATATACGAGATACTCTTACAGGCAAAATTCTTGAAATGATCGCTCTACGACGACCTGCAATTAGTAAATATTTTTATAATTTAATATTTGAAAATTTCATTTGTTTTTAGTGGGATGTGATAATAATGATGATCAGAATGATTCAGATGATGATGATGAATGGCTTGTTTAATCTATATTTACAAATATCATCGATAATTTTTATATAATATAATCAAGATTTATTCATGAATTTTTAATATACTACGGGAATATTTATTATGTATATTGCTAAGGAAAACTAGGCAGTATCGGGTTAGTATTTGAGATATTTTTTATTTTACTAATGCATGTATGTAACCATATTTTTTCTACGCTTAATTTTTATTTTTCTATTATTTTGATACATATTCTTTGGTTTATTTTGTATTCTATCATACAGAACTGTGATAATTTTCTCTTTGGGTTTTTTTTTTTGTATAAATGTAAACAATAAATAACAGTGATTTATATCTTAATGTTTTTTTTATATCATTAGAACGTTTCTTCTTTGTAATCAAACGATCTATAATCTATCTCCCTAGATGATATAAACAGAGAAAAAGCAAGCTTGAAACTATGCGAACGTGATGTTAACAAGCAGCACGTTCTCATTGCTTCGAAGGCATTTTTTTCTTCGTTCGTCTCGATTCGAGGAAGACATCAGAAAGATTGATAGAGCCCATCGGATTAGTTCCGAGACAGATTCTGGTCTAATATCTTTTCGTTAATGAAATTCAGTTTCGAAAATTTTGGATCCAATGGATTCAAGTCATCTGATAAATGTACAGGATGTGTTAATTCATTGATATTATCAAAATACGACTCAATCGGGTGTGAGTCAGAATCACGGTTCGAAAACTTTGCATCCAACATACTCTCTATGAATTGTATTTAAACTATATAAATACAATTAGAAAAAAATTTTCTAGGTTTTAGTAAGTTGAAAGAATTATACGCTATTGCTTTGTAAGTACAAGTATTTATAGGCAGTATTAAATAAAAAAAAAATACTTGTTAGACAATCATTTTATCATTTTTCATAGTAACCATAAACTGATATTCTTACTGATCTTTTCAACTGATGAAGAAACTTTATGACATCTTTAGGTAAAGTATGACATAGCATTCAAGTGCATAATGATCTTTGTTGCTATCGAATATTGAGTCATCAAAAATTTTTTTTTTTTTGATAAAGAACATGTGATTATTGTTACATCGTTTCTGTTAGTCACAACTATCATAGAGATTTATGTTCTCTAGTTTACACTATTTATTTGAGAATATATTGATAATATTCATGTTTACCATAGTGAAAACTGAAGATATAAAATTTTTAAAAAAGCATAATTAGAATTACCGATTCATAAGTTGAAAGCGATATATTAAAAATGTCAATATAAAAAATTTGATCAAAGGTCAAATATATCTTCATGATATTTTGACATTGGTGAATTTTTTTGTGTTTTAATTTTTTAATAATCTTTTTTTCTTTTACAGTGCACGTAACAATTGTTTCATAGTATCACTAATAGCTAATCCATCAAGTTTTCTATCTAAACCATAAAAATCACATTTTTCTATTGCATGTTTTGTTAATTGTAAATTATCATTTTCATCATATAACTTTAATGAATAATATATAATTCGTTCACATAATGCTAATATACCAGCATATGTCTCAAATTTGAATTCATATTCCTGTTTTTCTAAATCAATTAATTCACAAAGATAATTAAATTGTGTACGTGTAAAATTTTCTTTATGTATAGAAATCATTGATAAATATAAATAGGATGATTCAAAAAGATAATCTCTATTACGATATCTATTAAATAAACGTTTAAATTGATATTGTCGACGTGATGATAAACGACAATAATTAGTAAGATAATCAAGTGGTGTTATTATTTCAAGTATTTTTAAATCATATGGTAATTCAAAACGACAAGCCTAAAAAAGAAAATAGATGAGGTTTTTTTTTAATTTCATTTAAGAATAGAAACAAACTTGTAAAGACAATGGCATAGGACCAATAGTTATTGCACTAGTACTGTCTTTTATTTTGACTAATAAATCTAATGTTTCTTGTTTTTCAATTGATTTTTCATCGTTTTCTTTTGTTTCAACTTCTATTTTATTTGTTTGATAACGATTACTACGATTTATTATTAATTTAGGAGTGTTAGTAATATCTTTTATTCTATCCTGATTACTAGTAATTGTATCATTTAAAGATTTAATTTGATCAGGTAGATTTTTTTGATTATTTAACTCTTCTAAATGTGATTGTTGTTTAGTTTCTATGTTATTATTAACAACTGGAACAATAATATCTTCTTTATTATCATTAGTTGTTAATGGAGTAGTATTCTTGCTATTAGTTAATGGTTTTAATTTTGTTGCATCATTATTGACTTTTGGTAGTACATAACGTGATGGTACTGGTGGCTTTCTAAATTGTTTATTTCGAATTGCTTTTGATGGTGGAGTAGAAATATATTGATTCGATGTAAGAATATTAAATTTTTGAATAATAATTGAATTTTCTGATAACGAACCGTTTGCATTCAAATCTGGCCATGTTTTTGATTTGAAATCCATTAAAAAAAAACTTGATTTTGTTTATCAGTTTTGGATTGTTTTGCACTGCTCCTTTTAGTTGTCGAATCAAGAAAAAAAAAGTTGTTTTTTCAGTTACTAGACAGATTTTGTTATAGATGTTGTTTTTCACTTGTGATAAGAAAAGAAAAATTAAAGAGGTATAGATTTATATTTATTTGTCCTGCATCACGATAACCTAGTCGTTGAATTAATGAAGATAAAGCCATTCGAAGATATGACAAATAAAAAAACTTGTATATTCTATAAATTTTTTTATAACTCCACAATGTAACCAAGTCGTCAAAAATAATTTTTCACCAAAAAATTAAAGCATTTGGTTTTTTTTTTTTCTTATAGAAAATGTTATGAATTTTTTTTTTTCAATTCTTCAAAAGTTTTATAATGACAAATTTATGATTGACGATGTCAATAAAGAATATACAATAAATCCTTTGTGACTTCTATGATGTAACAGTAGTGTGCCAGCACTTATATTGAAGAGGAATTACTTATGACTGAACTACAAATTAATTATACAACATTCTTTTGACTTTCACTTGACATTTAATTACTAAAATAATATGAGTTTATTTTGGTCAAAACAGTCTCTTCATGTCATACATATATTTTTGCAATTACAATTGAGATATGTTGAATGACGTCATAACTTCATTGCATCATCTTTATTATTTATATTTCAGATGACAAACGAAACAACACTTCCATCTTTGAGTGAAAAAAAAGCTATGGACGATGAGACAACACTTCGATATTTTACATCGATTCGACAACAAGAACCTGAGTATGAATAGAGATATCAAAATTCTTTTTTTTTTTCCAGTTGTTGTATATTTACTCTTCTTTTTAATAATAGAACATCAGCAGCTATAACAGCTATACGTACATTACTTGATGTTATAAAACGTTCATCAGCTGGTACGTTAAGTGAATTATCACGTGAACTTAAAGTAGCTGTACAATTATTAACAACACAAACTGATTCATCAATGCCAAGTGTTAAATCAGGTTGTGAATTATTCTTATGTTTTATAACATTAGCAAAATTAGATGCATATGCTATTGATGAATGTCGTCAAAAATTAATTGAACGTGGTCAAGTTTTTTTAGATCGAGCATTATTATCACGACAACGTATTTGTGAATATAGTCAAGAATTTATTGTTGATGGATGTATTATATTAACACATTCATATTCACGTGTTGTTCTTACTCTACTTAAATATGCATCGAAATTTACACGTTTTAGAGTATTTGTAACACAATCTGAACCAGATAAAAGTGGAATAAAAATGAGAGATGAATTAGAAGCTATTGGCATACCAGCTGTATGTATATTAGATGCTAGTGTAGCATATATGATGGAACAAGTAACATTTGTTTTAATTGGTGCTGAAGCTGTTGTTGAAAGTGGAGGAATAATTAATAAAATTGGTACATTTAATTTAGCTATTGCAGCACATGAAATGAATAAACCATTTTATGTTGCTGCTGAATCATTTAAATTTGTTCGAGTTTATCCATTAAATAATCGTGATTTACCTGATCATTTTAAATATAAATCATCAACAATAGCACGTTTAAATGAAAAAGATCTTATTAATGAACATCCACTTGTTGATTATACACCACCAGCTTATATTACATTATTATTTACAGATATTGGTTTATTAACACCATCGGCTGTTAGTGATGAACTAATTAAACTTTATATTTAAATATTAAAATTACAGTAAAGTTAGTGATGAAATTATCTCATTGAAAAGAAATATTACTAATTTGCTTTTCGTTGTGTTTCTTTTTTTATTATAATAAAGAACAAAAGTTCTACGTTCGTCATTTTCTATATTGCTAGACGTTTCAAACTAATGAATTCGTTGATTCTTCATTCAAGTTTGAAACGTAATACAAAATGATTTAACGTAGAAATTTTTTTCCATTCATATATCGTAATCAAATCCGATTGATGTTTTTCTTTTTTTCTTTCATTCTTTAACCGATCGTGTTGTTTTATAAGACAAAAACACCAGAAACGAAACAAATATTAGTTGAGATTTCTATATACAATTCTCTCATGATCATATATATATAAAAATTTGAAAGAAAAACAAAACAAAGAAAATATATATATATATATATAAGAGATGTCAAAATTCCGACAAAATACTTTCTACTCGATCATAAATTGAATTACCCCGATCGACAAGAGCATTTAAACGTTCTAGAACGTTAATAATTGATTCTTGTGTTGTTGCTAATAATCTTCCTGATTGTTTATCTTCTTTTTGTTGTTGTTCAGTATCAATTAATAAAACAGATGATTCATCAATAATTAATCGAGCATTTTCTTGTTGTTGATTAACAACATGTGATAATGATCGAACAATATCATCTAATTTTGAATGACGATGACCATTTGGTAAAAGATGATTTCTTGGTGTAATAGATCCATGTTGTTCATCACTATTACATTCATTCTTGGATATAATAGCACGATCAAGTTCATTTAAAGCTGAAAAGAAAAACGATAAGAAAAATTAAATTGTAATCAATACAATAAAAGTAATTTCTTAGTTTTTTTTTTTTTTTAATATCATTTTACCTTTTTCCAGATGTGCACGTACTGATAATAAATCAGAGTTACCATTCATATTAGATGAAATAAACGATGAGGATGGTAGTGGTGGTGGTGGTGGTTGACGTTTATGATTTGTTAATGGTAACATTCGTTTTCGTTGATGACTTGAAGGAATTATTAGTGGAGATCGAATTTGTTGTTGATGTTGTTGTTGTTCATCATCATTAGTCATTGAATGATTTATTCCACTATGTTCATCGCTTCCATTTGTTATTGTTGGACTTGCAGGTTGTTGTTGATCATTATCTGTACCTGTATGATTATCTTCATCATCATTATCTATATCATCTTCATCATCCATGTCATGATCCATATGAATAGAAGATATTTGTTCAGGCACTTGAGTAATACCACGTGTTGATGAACGAGTATACAGTCCATTAATACCATTTGAATGAGGGTTTTTAGCTTTTTTAGCCGCACTAGAAATTAAGAATAATTTATTAGAATGTAAAATTCTTTTTAATTGCAGTTTATAGTTGGATATTTTTATTAGACTTCATCTTTCATCACGATCATGCATTCTAATTGAAATAAAGTGTCATTTTCTTTCAACGTTTTCTTCTAGTTTCATATGTGTGTATGTGTCATCACGTCTCTTCCTTTCTTAGGTTTCTTTATCAAAAAAAAAAAAGAAAAAGAAAAGAAACTATGAAGTGGAATTTCTACAGAAACCAGAACAAAAAAAAAAATCTTTAACTGTAATTTACTTGAGTGTTTATTCAATTCGAAATATTAGAATAGAAGGATGTTTAATCATTGTGAACGTCCGATTATTTTAAAAATTACATAAGCATGATTCCACTCGGATGCATTACAACTTTGTAAAGTTAGAAAATTTTTCTTGCACCTTAGAAGTTCAAGTACAAGAAATAATTTCCTTCCGATCATATAGCATTTCCGTCAACATGGAACATCGAAAAAACAAAAAAAGAATTCTTTTTTTTTTTCTTATTCAATATCAATATATCTATCTACCTATATATATATGTTCATTGTTTAATTACAAAAAGAAAACAAATTGTTTTTACCGTTCTCGATGAAAATAATCCGAAATACGTCGATAAGCTTTACGCTCATCGAGTAGTTTATAAATTTTTTTTATTGTTGATGGTACACTTGATTCTCGTTTGATATATTCACTATATTTTTTATAATCATTACCTAAACAAAAATATCATCGAATTATTTTTGTTTTTTTTTTTTATTGATATTACTCAAATAGATAAACTTAACTAACCATAAATTTCACGTAAATGAAACAATATTTCTTTTTCATCATCTTGAATACGTATTACTTTCGTAGATGTATTAGTATTTGTTATACCGGCCATTCTAACTTCACGCGTAGTATGTCAGTATGCGTTACGCGAATAAAAGTCCGATTCAGCGTAGTTGACGACGAAAGACAGACGATAGATGTGCGAGCGCCGTATGTGTGTGCGTGTGTGCTCGCTCGATGGAAGAGGGAAAAGAGGGAAAGAAGAGAAATGAATGATGACGGACTGAATGAAACACGACGACGACGACAACCGACGAGTCGGCGCAGCAGCGACGGCTCGTTCGCTCGTTGTCGGTTGGTGCTGCGAGCTTGTATGTTTGTCTCTTTTTTCTTCATCACTCGGTAGCGTTAGCGACGGTGACTGGTGCAAGTCGATCATGTTCGTTTGTTCTTTGCCTATTACTCGCTTTTGGTCGTACCCGGCGAGAAACGAGTGTGTCTACGTGATGTGTGCGAGCGCACATCTACGAATAGTAGTAGAAGTTGGTCTCTTTTGTGTTGATCGAGTTACGGCAAGAGTGTGTCTGCGTGGGGTCAACAAATGCGTTCGCAATAATAGTATGATAGCAAAAAAAAGAGAAAAAAGAAAAAAAGGAAGAACAAGAAACTTCATGTATATGAAAATCTTATGGAACTGTATTTTTAAATACTCATTTGTTGATATATATACATGTTCTGGTCAAAATTAAAATTTAGTCAAATATAAAATAAGACGATTCGTCTGAGCAAATTTTAAATTTGCCTAGTCAAAAAAAAATCAGTCAAATTTTAAATTTGATTGAATTTTAATTTTGACTACAACATATATATATATATACATATACTATTGTAGATGTTCATTCGTTCATTAAATCATTTCATTAAAAAATCTAGTAATGCTTGTCTTTCAACAGAAATTCGACGAGCATTATCGAACGGATCATTTGTTCGACAGGTACAAAACAAATTTATTTATTCATAATTACTTTTAAAATGAATTCATATTGTTTTTTTTTCTCAGTTATTCGAACAAGAAACATCCACTTATACTTATCTAGTAGCTGATGGAAAAACTAAAGAAGCGTTGATTATTGATCCAGTTATAACAACAGTAGCACGTGATATGCAACTTATTAAACAACTCGGTTTACGTTTACGATATGCAAGTATGTTTGTAAATACTAAATAATAAAATATTGTATTTTTTACCTTAGTTAATACACATGTTCATGCTGATCACATTACTGGAAGTGGTCGTCTCAAAACATTATTACCCGGATGTCGAAGTGTAATAAGCAAGGATAGTGGTGGAAAAGCCGATATATATATCAAAGATGGTGATGAAATTGAAATTGGTGATAAAAATAACAAAAATCAACGTTTAATACTTGAATGTCGATCAACACCAGGACATACAAATGGTAAACAAAATTTAGATTTTATTTATGAATAATATAATTTAATATGAATAGGTTGTATGACGTTTGTTTGGCACAAAGGTTCAAATGTGTTTACTGGTGATTGTCTTTTAATCCGAGGTTGTGGACGTACTGATTTTCAACAAGGAAGTGCTGATAACATATATACATCTATTCATGAGCGTATATTTACATTACCGGATCATTTTATTGTTTATCCTGGACATGATTATACAGGTAATTATTTTAAATAAAAAAAACACTAGAAAATTTTCATTCTTTTCTTTTCTTCATTAGGTCAAACAAGTTCAACAGTTGGAGAAGAAAAAAAATATAACACTCGTTTAACAAAGTCACGTGAAGAATTTGTTGCTGTTATGAAAGAACTTAAACTTAGTTATCCAAAACAAATTGGTAAGATTATTATAAAAAAAAAAATCTTTTTATCATATTTATTGTGTTGTTTTAGACAAGGCTGTTCCGGCTAATTTGATATGTGGTTTATTACCAGAACCGTAAAACGTGTAACTTCTTTTTTTTTTTTTTTTATTCATTCATTCCAAATAATTGAAAATTTAAATCAATAAGGAAAGGAGTTACGATAGGACTAACGCTATTTTTATTTTATTAGATTAACTTTTTAAAAAAATATTATATTAAAATAAATATTCTCATTTGAGTTTTTTTTCTAGAATAAACATATTTTAATTATAAAGATAATTTTATTTGCTCAATAAAATAAAAAATACTTTTATTTTAATTTATCTAAGAAGAATTTATTTTTATTAAGAAGATTTCTTCTCTTTGATCAACATTGAATTGAATTGATTAATAAAAGAAAAACTACTGATCTATAACTATCATTAGCTTTCAAACAATAACAATGATAATTGATATAAGATTATTATGAATAGGATTTTTCAAAATTAAATTAGAACAAATAGATTAATAATATATATATATATATATAGATAAAATCAATCAAACATTAATGATGCATCGATTTGTTTCATTTCTTTCTATGTCAAGGAATATCATACTGTTATTTTACATATAATCTAGTAGATTATTTAAGTCAATATTTAATTCATTCATAAGCGGAGGTGCTGCATTAACAATATATTCAAACAGTACTGATAATCAAGTAATACGTGATGATTTTAAACTCTTGAAAGATAAAATGTGAGCTGAATTCAAACATCTATCTTAACTTGTTGTTGTTTGCCATCAAATATTTCATTATGTATTCTTTATATTATTGATTCAAAGTTAGTAAGATTCAATAGTTTTATTTGTCACCTTAACTTTCTATAGATTCTTTGTGTGATGTGTAGAATAAAAAAAAAAAAAAATGTTAAGCCCAAAGTAAACATAGTGACAAATGAAAAGAAATGATAAGAATGATGATTTCTTCTCTCTTGCTTTCTCTATGAGATAGCATCAGTAATATTCTTGTTTGTATCAATAGCACCATTACGATAAAGATGTTCAATATAAGTTTTACGAGATGGATGTATATCACCATCAGGTCGATTAATTGGAGTCCAAACCGGTTCACCAACAAAAAAAACGTCTAGCACGAATATAATTATGTTTATCCGTTATAAATCGATGATACATTCCTAAATGATAAAAAATAAAAACTAAAGTTAAAAAAATTATTTTTATTTCAAAATACCAGCAGGTAAAATAATTAAATCTCCAGGAAAAACATGAATTCTCATCCATTTATCATTATGATCTCGTACATCAAAAAAACCAGAACCTTCAAGTATAAGACGAATTTCTTCATCAGAATGAATATGTTCAGCAAAGAAAATTTTTAATTTTTCTTCATAATTCTCCATAGATGGTGCAACTTTAATTTCATCTTCATATGTATATCTATGAAAAACGAGATATATTAAATTATTATATTATAATAATTTGTTTTTTTTTTACCCTCGATCATGTTTTAATTTAATTAATGATGGACTTTCATTTCCAGCAAGAGTTTGATCCGGATGAAAATACCATATTTCAACACCTGTACGTGCACATAATGTTGTCGTATCAACTTCTTCTAATAAATGTTCATCCTGTGGATCTTCTGTTCGATCATCCATATACCATGTTCGTACCTTAAATCAATTTATAACAAAAAATCAATAATTAAATTAATCATACCATGATAATAATTTGATTTCTTAATAATTTTCTTTTTCCTTTTTAAAATCTACAAAATTAAATAAAAACTAAATGATACATTAATCATATTAGGTTCAATTAAATAGATTTTTTAAATATTCGTGCACCATTGATTTTTTTTTACTGTTAGGAATTCTAATATGGAGTAGAGTAGTACATTAGTGAGTAATAAATCATATATATATATATTTTTGAGTCATCTAAAAGTACATATTTTTTTTATAAGCAAAACAAAACAGATTATTTTTAAAAAATTATAATTTTAAAATATTTGATGTAATTTTTATCATTTGTATTTTGCACTCAAATAATATTCAATTAAAAAGCAGCAGAACCAATTTAGGACTAACATGTGGAATTTATATGTTTTTTTTTCGGCTTCATTAGATTAATACAAAATATGTTAAGCAAAAAGTCTCTAATAGATAAGTTTGTTTCTAAGAATCATCGATTATTAGATCAACGATTTGTCTTCCGTTAGATTTTTACTTTCCTTAAACTACCATGATTATTTTTTGTGTTCGTTGATAAATAAACTTGTTGTACATATCTATTATATCTACAACAGATCTTAATATTAGACCTTGTCAAATCGAAGATTTTTTGACTTGGACCTAAACTGTTCAGGATCATCCTAGCGGGCTTCATTCAACATGTTATTATGTGTTTTGATAACCTGAGAAACACTAACTTAATCAATCGCTTTCTTACAGAAAGTTAGTATATTACGAGTAAAAAATCTTTTGTGATCTACTCAGATCATAAAGTATATCAAGATTTAATATACTCCACTAGCTTTCAGGGAGGAAACAATTAGTGAGTTAAAAATGTTTTCTCATAATCCCTATTTACTACTCTGGTTTCGTATCTTTGTGAAAGAATTATAGAAAATGAATCTGATATCTGTTGTCTTTGGTGGCTAGGGAAACATACTCATTGATCATTAACCCTGATTGCTAAAGTTTATTGCGATCGCTTGCATCAGCGTTGTTAAAATTATTGATCTATACTCTTGCTGTTATATTTTGATTTGGGTAAAAACAGAATTCTAATTATTACAGAATTTTTTCAAATAATATTTCGAAAATTATGTCTTTTATTATCTATAATACAACCGTTATATCTTTACAATTATCATTATAATATTAAATCATAATTTTCATCAGAATATCAAATTATGAGTCTATTTCTTAGTACATAGATCTTGAATTTAATATATACTTTTCTCAAATGGTACACTAATGTTTTTATTGATAGTATAAATGATTGATGAATGATACTTCATTACATCACATAGTGTAAATCAATAATATTATAAGAAACTGCTTATCGAATATTATATGATGATAATAGACTTGTTATAAAATGAAATAACAAAAGAAAAGTTTATTTTATTGAATTTCTGCTATTTAACAAATGATCTTAAGTTTATCATGGAATAATCAATAAAAATTATGATCTAATTTACTATTGTGAAAACCTCTCGCTAACATAACTACAGAAATTTGATTATAGAATAATTTATAAATCATATCTTTCCAACATCATATAATCAAAAAGTAATTGGTTTTTGTTTCCTTCAAAATCAACAAACTTTTTTCCAGTTCAGATTCGATTGCTTCGTTGAATAGCCATTCAAACTATAAAGAAAAAGATAAACATGTGACGACATATAAATCGTTTGACTTACTCGTTTCATTCTATACATAAAATCGAATGCATTTGTAGGTAGATCTCAATGAGTAGAGCAAGTGTTATCGTAGACTCTAAGTTCTCAAATACTTCTTTCGAGGAAATATCTGGATTGTAAAGGCTAAGAATTGTCTTGTTTTTTCAGTCGAAATAAGTCCGATAGAATTGGAACTTTTTTTTATAGATACTAGACACTATTTGGAGTGCCTACTACTTTTTCTTTTGGTTTCTTTTCCTTTCCATTCATTCAATTAAAAAAAATCACAATACTGAGCGTACCTTCAAAAATATATGAGTTTTTGTTTTCTTACTAGAGCTGTTTTTGTGAAACCTTCCAAAAATCAACGGCGCAATGTTTTTCAAAACAAAAAATAATGTAGACACTTCAACAATGGTCAATATCTGTAACAAAAAAAAAAGAAGAGTTTTAGCTCGATCGAGCATACTATGTTGAAGAGATATATTATTTGTAGTTTGAACAGACTCTGACAAATATATGTGTTGTATCTGCAGCAGACAAAATAATCAGATCACGTCGAACAAATACTGTATTTCTTAGAATACACTTATTTATATTTATCTAGCATCAATGTATATTAGTCGATGTGTTTCTGATTGTGGATAATATATAGCTACAAAGTAGAATCAGATAGAAAGAATGAGATTATAGTATGTTTAATAGAAGATATTGAATCTGAAAAAAAAGGAATATTACTTCATCTGGATTGAATTCATATCAGACGTACGCTATCATCTACAAATATAAATATCAATCAGCACTTATAATGGACTCAAAGTCAAAAAATTATCTTTTCTAGGCTATAAAACATATCGATCAGGATATGATATTCAGTATGAAAATTCTATGATAAATAGAAGATTGCGATTAGTTTCACTATGAAATCAAACTTGTCATAAGTTTAGACAAATATATTAGATCAATCATTTGATATTTTGTATTTATTTTTCAAAGAAAATATCTTGATTTTCTTCTACTTGTTATAGTAATGAATATTTCATGTCTCTTCTATATGTAATGATTTATTCTACTGACTCAAAAGTTCTAGTTCAACTAAATCAATATGTGATTTAATACTACTCCTAATGTCATGAATAATAATATTAATACATCCGACTAACTAATCAATTGCTTTTGAGATACATTATGTGACACTCTTTTCAGCTTATTCATAACTTATCTGGTTCTAAATAATACACATAGTCTTGACTCAAATGCAATATACCAGTTGAAGACTTTCACTCATAAAATTCTTTTTCTGTTTCAACTCATCTCAATAAAACTTCTTACAATGATTTACGTTCATATTGGAATAATTACAACAATTTGAATGAGTACATAAAATATTAATCTTTAATTTTTGATTTCCATACACAAACCCTACTCACCGTCAGTCTTTGTTGAACATGATAAATCAATATACTTGAATATCATAATCTACTATTAAATGTTGTTGATAATGACGAAAAGAACAAAATTTAAACAACACATATGAATTTAAAATAATCTAAAGCATATTCAAATTGTCATCTTTTGACATATCAAAAAAAAAAATGGAATTTAATTAAACACAAACAATGACAATGAAAAGACAACGATAACAATGTTATGACAAAACAAAAAGAACATTTGACTTTTTTTTTTCTTTTCACTGAGACAAATCATATTGCACAAAAAAAAAAAAGAAAAGATGTTTAAACTATGTTTTTTTTATCAATAGGAGATAGGTTTTTATAATCTTTAAATGCAAACGAAAGACATAATTGTCGATCTCGTACATCAGACCATCCACCATTTGGTTGTTTAAATGGACGTTTACCATCATATTTAATATGTAAAGATGCAGTTGTTGTTGGAAATAAATATTTTCGATTATTTTGATAGAATTTATCTGTTTCTGTCCAACGAGCGATATCAGACTCACTAGAGCAAAATTTTTTATGATGAGTACCACTAAAAGATTAAAACAAAATCAACCAATTCTTTTTTCTATAGAGTAGACTTGTTTTCTTTACCATGAGCCAAGATGTATAACTCTTGTCGCACTTGAATATATTACACGAGGAAAATGAAAACGTTGTTGTGCTAAATAAACAAGTGACCAATCCCAATTATAATCATCAATAGTACAAAATTCTTCAGCATATTTCACAAGTAAAAGCCATAATGAATGAGATATTGTCATGCCAAGATTATATCGTGCATGCCAATATGCAATTGATACCTAAGAATATGTTTATTTTATTTCTTATTGAGTTAACATTTTTCTTTCATACTTTTGAACCAAGTTTTTCAAATTGTCGACCGGATTTTTCAAGATTTCCTAATGTATAAAATAAACATTCAGGACATAGACTAAAGAGAAGACAATAAATAAAAAAAAAAAACAATTTTTTATGAAAATATAAAGATTTTTTATTTAATTTACAGTTCTTTTGCTATTTCCATTTTTTTAAGAAAGACAAGTGCATCAGGTGATAAATAAAAATCTTCTTCAAGTAGAAGTAATAAATAATCTGTACGATTTTTTAATATTTCAATTGAATTAAAAACAAAATTGAGCTAAAAAATAAAAATACATTAACATTAAAAAAAAAAACAATTAAAATAGAATAAAAAATGAAATATTTTAGTTTTGTTATGTTTCAAAACAAACCAATATATTTTATTTGTGGTTATATGATTATTTATTAGAATTTCTAATTCACATTTGATTTGAGTTATTTAATTAAAAAAAAAAACAAAAAACAAATGCGACAAAAAAACAGAACATGCTAGTTTATAGATATATGTCATTCGAACTGATAAAATATTTTTTCTCTACATTAGTTACTCACTTGTACAAATCTCATTCATTTCTATAATCAAAGAGAATCTATATAAATCAGATATAACATAATTGAATCTTCTTTTTTTCTAAGCCATATTTTCAAAAAACAAAAAAAAATATACCATGTATTTTACTTACCTTCCACCACCAATGATGCTTAATTTGTACAATAGACACTTCTCTATAATGTCCATATCTATCTGGATTAGGTGCATTGTTACATCGACTAGCTAATGCCCTAAAAGATTCCAAGATAAATTAAAAAAATTCTACATAACGTGCTAGTGAAAATAGAGAAGAAAAATTGCAAATATAGATGAGCTCTGAACTATTTATTTCTATTAATGAGGATTGTATTTGTTTTAAATTTGTTAATGAATTATTACCCACCTTTTGGTAAATAATTGTAAATTACTGTAAGAAAATCTTCGATGAAATAAACGAAAAAAAAAAAAAAAAAAATTTAAAAACTTAACTTACTTATGTCGAACTATATCACGTGGACAATCGTTTGGATCAAGACCAGGAAATTCATTTGGATAAAGTTGTTGTGAATATGGATAAAAAATTTGTATCACCTAAATAGAAGAGATATGAATAGTAACATATTCGATGACTTTACTTCGAAATTTTCTATTTATTTGAATGTCAAATAGAAAAAAAAACATGAGAGCACCGATTGACCTTTTAGAATTACAAAATAGTTGTTTTTTTTCTCATGTAGTTAAAATGTTTTATTTACTATAAAAGATATATCGAATAAATCTCAGTAACTACTCATAATAGAAAAAAATAGCTAAAAATGGTTTACATTTCGATAAAGGTCACTTCCTTTATTAGATCATATGTAATTACACTAGACAGCTGTTATTTTGTACTGTAAAAAAGACACGTGCTACTAGAAATGAGGTGGATCAATTGTTTCTGACCTAAGTCTCCATTTCTCCGATGCCGAGATCACTTTTCCTATATCTATTTAGTCCGTAATTCGAGAGATGCGTGACGAATTTTCTTTTTTGGGCACAGTCACAGTGATCTTAGTTTTTGAGACCCTTTTAATACTTTTGGATCCCAATCTAAAGAAAATTATACTAGAACTAATTTGTATCATATCTGAAAAAATTCTTCAATACTCATTTCTTGCTTTATTTAGTCAGTGATTAATATGTTTTTTTTGCATCATTTATCTTTAATTATATTCTGATTGATAATTTGCTTCAAAACATAGAATATATAACTATAATCTTTAGGTTTAGTTATGACAATTTTTCTCCTGTAAGTTCAGTCTTGGACTTAGCAACTTGTATTTCTTGTGATTGTGAATCCAGGACTAAAATTATTCGCTGACTTTTCTAGTTGTAACAATATGATTTTCGACGCAAGTTTTACATGATCATAAAAAGTATTGACCTTAATAAAAAAAAAAAACAAGCGTTGGTTCTGAGGCCATATTGCTTATATCTATTCGATATTAATTTAATCTGTGACGAAATTAGTTCTTAATACTATTAGGAAAAAGTCTAAGAGAACTTTTTTTTAGAATATTAATTATATTTCCTAGATATTTATGTGATAAAAGTCTCACATACATGAACCGCTTATATGCAAGACTAATAACAATATGAGCATTGAATTAGATAGAAAACATCATCTAAAGGAATTTGACTACTTGATAATATTACATTACTCATCAAAGTGGTTATTAGTATTATTGATAGGAAAATTATTTTCGAAGCTTTATTCTTAAGCTATACTTTTGAAAAATAAATAAATACGCAAAATGTTTGGTTTATTAAACAAAATATTTTCAATGTATTTTACCGGAACAAATGTAATATTTGTTACAAGTGCATTGATATCCGAATCAATAAAATCATGACTAAATATAACTAAAGATTGATTTATTGTTTCAACAGCTTGTAGCATTTCAATAAATTTTTTTAAGTAAACAATACGTGTATGTACTTGTACAAGTAAAATATAACGTGTTGTTTTTGATGAAAATAAATTACTATTATACATAAATTGTTCATTATTTTTTCTTTTAACATATTGTCGATAATACTCAATAGTTGTACGATTAATAATTAATGATAAATTTAAAGGTTTAATTTCATTTTTTGTTAACATTAGAGATAAATTCGAAAATTTTTTAGTTTTTTCCTTCATATCATATGGTAATGATGATGAACTACTATCAGTTGATTGTTGTTGTAAATCATAATAAAATATTGATGTTACTTTGAACATTGTTATTATAATAAGCCAAAAAATAATTGAACGCAAAATAATGTAGCGATAACGGAAAATCTGATACATGATTTGTTTTTTTTAAATTAATATACTAGTCTAATGGAAATTAAAAAATAAGTCTATAAAAATAAATAATCAATTGATTTTGTATGTGTTAGAAAGATTGATAGAATAGACCAATGAAACAAACATCACCGACACATATTTTTTCTTAACTGAATCATATTAATAAATACGATCGATATCTTTATTTGTTGAACGATGACATTCAGTTGGAATAAATGTTAAATAGATATTGCTTGACAAATTCTTATCATTTAATGAATAATATATGCTAATGGAATTAAACGGAAAAAAATTTTTTGATTGATGTATTTGTTATTGTCGCCTAACGGTTAGGAAAGAAAAAGATAATCAAAATAATATGGAATTCAAATATATTCGTTTGATCGATAAGAAAAGAAAAAAAGATGAAAAAAAGATTTAAAATATTGATTCTCTTGATATTTTCATTCTATTTTTCCTTATCAAGAAAAAAAAAAAGAAAACACATTAATCGAAATAGAAATTACTCTTCGATCACATTCTATTCATTCACTATGTGCATGATATTCTATATTGATCTGTAATATTCAAAGAAACGAAAGAAATAGGAGAAAAGAACATAGAAGAAGAATAAGGTATTAGTAATTTCTCTCTCTCTCTCTCAAGTGACCTAATGAAATGAAGGTACTATTTTTTACTTTAGTTGTCAATACTTTCTTGCTTTTATGTTTTCTTCAATAGATTGCTTTTGGGACAGTAAAAGTATAACATATTAAATAACATGCATTCAGAAAAAAATAGATGAAGAATCGAATCAAAGATTTGACGTAAAAGACAAAAACATTAATCAAAAATATAATATTCTAAGCTTCTTTACAATAAGAAATATATCTCTATATTAACTAATCAAAAGATAGCTAAATTCAATGTATAGACATTTCCTATAGAAGATATTCCATGATGAATACAGAAAGACATTATGACTAATATGTTCTGAGGAAAAAAGTACGTTTTCGGTGTACCTTGCCCATCTTCAACCTTGTAGAGAATTGTATCATCTAGCAAAATTCAAAATCATATCTTATCTGTTCTACACGCTTCCATTTTAAATGGACGAGCTATTCGTCAAGTATCTTTCAATAATGAGAAAGCAACACATGGAATGAAGATGTCACTAGATAATGAGACTAATTTTTTAGTACCTGGACCCTAAGTTATAATCGAGTAGAATTATTAATCTAAACGATCAAACTGGACTGACCTAACTGATTGATCAACATGTGTCATTTTTTATTTCTTTCGTTCTATAGATAACATTCGAGACGACTGCTTGATTACTAACCATATCGATATTTAAATTGCTGCAATAATGTACTGGATTCCATTTCGGTTCTACAGTGTTCTTGTATTATTGATTTTCATTACTGTTTTATCACTCTTGGTACTAATCGGTGAACAGAAAACTCTATTAGACTATAAATTCTATATTAACTATGAATGCTGATTGAATGTGCATTTCAGATATGTGCATTATTAAAACTGTATATGTCATCTGCTTGGCATATGTTCTAATCTATTTTTTTTTGTCTTTTTGTGTATATTCGTCATAGATGCTATAAATAGTAACGAATATAAAGAAATTAATGATGAGTTATCATAACACCTAACTCCTTAATACAGTTATGATAACATAACTTCAGATCATTAAGAATTGACAAAATACATACTAAGTATACTATGATAATATCACTGAGAACAAGTGTCAGAAACATGTTTTATCATAGTAATAGACTTATTTATTCTTCAAAAGTGTTTGATTCATGATGAAATCTCACTTTTATGATCAATTTTCTGAAACAAAAAAATTCAGATCAATCAATAAAGAAAAATTTGTATTTATTGGCAAGATAATCTTTACCGAACTCGATCGCTTGTTCGTTATCGTTTACAATTCTGTCTAAGTCAAACAATCAAGGGATTAAATGTCTTTATAATCGAACAAAAAGCATTGTCTTCACAAAAAAAGAAATTTTTAAAAAGTTCTTCACTTCTAAGATTCTTACGGTCAAACTTGATGTACATTTATTCACAAATGATACCTTTTGATTTAACAATAAATCTAGATCTATAGTCATAAAATCTGTCTATTTGATTATCTTTTTGTTAAACAACAGAATTTTTCCTTATAATACGTCAATCGACAACTTTTGTGACTCATATATGAAGATTTATATATAGCATGTTATTTTATCAAGCAATAGGCTTTGATTCGATTGTAGTAGAAAATCAACATATCTCACAGGAATTAATGTTCCTTCTTTTTGCCTACATTACTGATTATCTTTATATTCATTCGATTAAAATTATGTCTTATTATAAATTAAAAGTTTTGTTTTTTTTAAAGAATTCGTTCTATAAAATATATATTTTTATTAATGTAGGAGTGTGAATATCCGAAATAACAAATGAAGTGTACAGTTAGTTTTTTTGTTTTAAGGATCATTAACAATGTACGATACTTGATCAACTAATTGTAATAGATGAGTGACTCGTTTTGTTACTAAAGAAATTTTTTTTTTTTATGTTAGTTTGAAATATCAATTTGATTGTCATTCACGTATTTTATCACTATCAATGTTACTTTATTTTTTTAATATATATATTCAACGATTTAAATAAGAATTAAAATATTGTCTTTGAATTTTCATTTTTCTTTTATCTTAATATCGATAATTTGTCTTTTATTCTAAATATCCATGATATTTCTTCGATTTATCAATGCGACATATGTTGATGAAGTGTCTGAAATTTCTATCAACATGCATGTGATATATTATGTAGTCGGTATGCCTATAAGAAATTACTTGTTTGTAAGACATTATATTTTTCTATGATAGTATATAAGCTGTCTTGTGATCTTATCATGAACAAGGAAAAAAAAATGGATGAAACTGGAGAAGAATCTCATTTGTTTGTTTTTCTTTCTGTTCTATTCTATGATTTTTTTTTTTCTTACACTGCCTTAATAGTCTTTCACTATATAAACCATCAATCGGTGGTGTACCGATATAAACAAATGACGGATTAGTATTGATTTACTGTAAAAAGAGAGAAAAAAAAAAATTGATGACAGAATTACGACGTCTTACTATGTCAAATCCAGCATCTACCTTCTCTATCGTTGCCCAAGAAGCATTAGATCATATAGTTGCTGATGGTGAAACTGATGACTGTATTAGTCAAGAACATGGATACATTACACATCAACGTTCTCGACGTCGATTGAGAGTGAGCTGAATATCTTTATTCTAGGAAATATTGTGTTATTGTAATGATGTATGTAATTGATTGATATATTAGTGACATTGCTTTTGGTAATATGAAAAAAAAAAAGAAAAGAAAAATTATGTGCAATCTTATAATGTTGGTTGAATTTATCTAATATGAAAAGAAACAAAATCAATAAATAAATAAATAAATAAAACTATTCGATCAAATCTTTAGACAGAAAATTTAATATCGAAAGTGTGTCGTTTCTTGTGCAAAAGAAACAACGATAAGATGTCCTAGATAAATATTTGGTTTTTTTTTTTGCTTAAATAAGAAATAAGAGCGAATATCTTATTATAAAGCTATCCATTTTTTTCTCTTATGATGGATGTGTACTATCTGTTCTGGAGTAATAAAGTCAAGGAAATGGTAATAACTGGTTGTGTATGTATTAGTACGGGACTTGTTGTAGACAAAAAATTGTCTGCGTCATAGAAGAATCAGGCAACTTATATCATTAAGACAAAAAGAAAAAGACCTTCTTGTCCCAAATTACAATTCTATGACTATAGTAAAAAATAATTATCTGTACATAATACTAATGGATTTTATGTGCTCAAACAAAAAACACGTACATAAAACAAAAAGAAATTGAAAGATGTAAAGGACAAATAGATGGAGAAAAAAAAAGAAAAGGCTACAGAAATGCCATCTGTGTTTCATGGAGGAACAATAAAAGAACTAAAATATAACTAGAAGAGCAAAGGATATCATCATTAGTAGCCGCAGTTGACTATGAAATGGATAGCAGCACGAGTCAGCATTCTAAGAAACCAGCCAGCTGCGTGCCAATACGCGACACGCAGGTAATTTATTCTTATGGAATTCTTTTATTCTTATTTTTGTACCCATATCGATCTCATTCTGTCCTATGTATCTGTATGCGATAATTATCCGAAAAAGAATATAGACAACAACAACAAGAAACTACCGACAGTCATCGTATGTGTTATGTGCACTAACAAACGCCGTTAACACTTTGTTTTTTTTCTTCTTTCCGTTGCTTCATACATATATACAATAGAGGTAGGAGTAAGTGACAAATTTTACAATAATGGAAAATCAATCATCAATGTCGAGAAGATCAACTAAAGTGATAGCAATAATATAATAAATATTAACATGTTTTATTTTTTAAAATGTTTTTATTTTTTTTTCTATTTTATTCTAGCGCGATTTTAATACATTACCAGAAAAAGTTTTACTTGCGATATTTTCCTATTTACCACATGCTGAATTATTACGCTGTGCGCGTGTTTGTCGTTTATGGCGTGCTTTAAGTCAAAATTCAAAATTATGGAAAACTGTTTTTCTTCGACCAGATCATCATGGTTTACATGTAAAAAATCTTGATCAATTTCTTAATTTAATTGGTCATCGTTTTTCATTATCATTACAATATATTGAATTACCTATGGAATTAATAACAGCTGATGTTTTACATGAATTAGCTAATAAATGTCCTAATTTAAAATATTTAACATTAGATTTTTCAACAGCTATGCAATTACATGATTTTAATGATTTAAATGCATTTCCATGCAATCTTAAAATGCTTTGTATTTGTTTATCCGAAGTTATTTTTCTTGAAGGTTTTATGAGACGTATTTATACATATTTAT